AACTGGTAAATCGTGCATTGACAGATTTAATCGTTTCGATTAATATAGCAAATGCGTGTTCGCTTAATTTAAAATCGTTCATTTTTTTCTAAATCCAAAAAAATGAAATTGACTATAGACGAATTAAAAAAAATACGAACTGTACAATGGACCAGCAAAATGATGGACGACGGTACGATATATTACACACCCGTGGATTCTGTTTCGACAGTCTTGTTCGATATGGATCTACTGCGACTCGTTATAGCTCCAAAATTCCGAAAACAAAACGCGATCACGCGTGTACTGAATTACGATCTCTTGCAACCGGTCGTATTGCTTTCCAATCTCGAACTGAAATTAAGACCAGAATTAGAAACGGCTATGTATTTTTCCACCGTATCGGATATGTCGTCAGCATTTAATGACAACATCCCGCTTCAGATAACAACCGGTTGGCGACACGTGTCGATTATGATTTTAACGACAATACTATACATTATTGTGTTGGTCATAGGCGTAGAATGGTGGGGGCTAAGGGGCCTATAGCCCCCCCAGAATTCTACTAAGCCCCCCCAGAAATTTTTGTGTAATAGTTTACTGTCTTATACAGTTATACGTCCATATGTGGGAACTGAAAACATTTTCTATTATTTATTTTGATATCAGAAGAATACTTTATTTGATAATTCAAATTTTAAATTATTCATTTATTTATACATTACCTACAATATCATATCGACATTCGACATCAATAACAATAATAATATTTTGTTGTATACCTAGTTCTATCTTCTATATTATAAATTAGTAAATTATAATGACGTTATCGCCGTCCATCGATGTTTCTGGAAAAAATACTTATAGTGTTTACTGTTTAGGTTAAAAATAGACGGCGATAACACAGCGTTGACGATACGAGAGTATTCGTTAATGGTAAATCCGCCAAACTTGTAAACACTAAACAGTATAATGGTATAACTATTAACTACAGTCTACACTCTATATTATATACGCTGATTATTTTATAGCAAAATAAGTTTTCACCGTGTTCTCATCTTACGTTCAGTTTTTCTTAAAGTGCATTTAAACATAAAATATATTTTTTTAAATACCCGCAAGTTTTAACGATTGCGATGTTTAGTATATTTAAATTTAATAAAGTAAAGACCACGATTAATAACCCACCCGTTAAAAATGCCATTCAGACCACTAGTGATCTTGATAAACATGCTGATGAAGAATATGAAGAAGACAATCCAAGTTTTAATAGTGTTGACAGTGCAGAGGAAGAATCCAGTCGAGAAAAACTAATTGTATCCACTTGTATAGACTCAAGTGATGTAAAAACTTTAAAATTAGATCTTGGAATTTTAGACTCTGGACCAAAACAACCGATTTTAAAAGTAAATATTATATTATAGTTTTTATTAATTATACGATAGATAATACAAGATATTAATGATATTATACTTTTTAATTGTGTTATCTAAAATTTTTACTTAATTGTCTGAAAAATATAAAAATTATTCATAGAACATATTACCTATAGTATAAGCTATGATAAAAAAAGGACTTTTTATACTATTTTTAATTATACTTGAAGATATTTTAACAAAAATCAATATTCTTAGTAACCTAATGCAAGAGAAAAAAGCAACTTTGGGAAAATCAGTAAATTTAATCAATAGTATTATAAAAACATTTGAAAATGACCGTTGCTCAGAAAAATTTAAAACTGTGTGGACAGAAGTTATAGCATTGGCTAAAGAGTTCAACATTTCATTAGAAATTCCAGCTAAAGGTTATTTAAAAATATTTATAAATTTTATTTTATATTAGAACGAAAAGATAGTTTTTAACCTTAATTGAGAATTTATGTTGAAGTATTTTATGTTTATAATTTATAATATATCTTTATATATTTAATTTGATACTTCACAGGTTCCAAACGTAAAAGAAAAGAAACAACAAATTTACAAAACTATTATGTTAGTAATACTACTGGTGCTGAATGTTCTTATGCTAATGTAGATGAACTCAATGAAGGAATGAATGATGAAGACACCCAGTTTGAATACTGGAAAGTTAATGGTTATTTTAGGATACTTGACTGTGTTTTATCAGGTTTGAGAAGCAGATTTTCAACAGAAAGCTTGAAAATTGGACATAGTATTGATAACTTTATGAAGTTAAAATATGATGAAAGTTTACATTTTATTGAACATTACGAGGTTAGTAAAATACATGAAAATATATTATATTAATGTTAATATAAGGTTTTTGTTTTTAGAATGCTTTATGTATTGATAAAGACCAACTTAAAGCTGAAATGCTAATTATGAAGAACTGTATTAATAAAGATGATTTTGACATAGGTGCTCTTGTATCAGAAATCAACAAAAAAATTTTTCCAAATTTATACAAGCTTTTACAAGTAGCACTTACAATTCCAGTAAGTTCTGCTTCTTGTGAAAGATCGTTTTCGGTAATGCGGCGAATAAAAACATGGCTACGAAATTCTATGTCTAACGATAGATTTTCAAATCTATCATTACTTCATATTGAAAGGGACTTTGCTAATAATATAACATCTGAAGAGGTTCTAAATATATTTGCGCAAAAAAGCAGGCGTTTAAACCTTACAATATAGTAATTAGTAATAATTTCCTATTTAAAATGTTTTTTTTTTTTAATATTTAATTCAAATACAAAATATGTATTTGATAATAATATGATGTATGGTATATTATTTATTTATATTTTACTTAATAATGTGCTTCTTTAGTCCTTTTAATATTTTGTTCCTTTATATTTTTCTATAGTTATATTTGTAGAATATAATATGTTCTGTACCTGAATCATTATAGCCCTTATACAAAGTGATTCGCAAGCAGTTTCGGCAGCGTCGTTGATACCATAAAAAAAAAAGGCTATAGCCCCCCCAAAAAAAATCATCACGCTACGCCTATGGTGTTGGTATTAATGTATTGTTGTTCCAATAATTATTTACCGACACGTCTCACAAAAATATTACAATATAGATTTATATAAATATTTAGTTTGTTGGACTTGTCGGTTTTTTGCTACTAACCAAATACGATTTTCCGCAACGCGGACTCGTTTACATACACACCGTAACACATAATTAAATCATTTATGCAATAATTCCGAGTGTTTTTTGTAATTGTGATCGTCCAATAGACGCACGACGCCGTTGTCCAACGAATCTCCGTCGGGCACGCGTTCCGAAACCAAACGAAACCCGTAATAGTTCAATTTTTCTCTATACTTGTCCAATCTCTCGGCGTCCAATTCCAAACCCGATCCGTTGTTGCGAACGCCCAATAAAAACATCTTATACGCGTTTTCCCATTCCTCGGTGCCCCAGTAAAAGAAACTCGGCGGATTTTTATCGTGCGGCGTCGGTATACCGCGCACAGTGTTGTTGTAATTTTGATCCATACGACACGTGTACGTGGTCAAAAACGGCGTACAGACCGGACCTATTAACGATTGTTTGACGTTCATTTACAAATGTCCGGGCACGCCGACTTTAGTGCGTTCCGGCATGGCCACGGTATACTCGTCAAACGGCAGAACATCGCCCAATTTAGTTTTTGCAGTCACAGCCGCATACTGTCGTTTGCCCACGACTCCGTCCAAAACGCGAATTTGTTTGTAATTTTCCGAATACAACGCTCCGTCGATCATATCGAAATCCGAATCCTCTTGTTTGGCGAGAATTCCGGTACGTACGGGAATTCCGGAGTCTTGGAACACACAAGTTTTGTACAATAAATCGTAACGTCCGCCGGACACTTCCAAAGAAGTGTCGTGCAACACGCGTGTTTACAAGGGTCCAAGAGTTTTGACGAATTCACGTTTTGCGCGACCGTTTGATTGAAATAGTTTTTAGACAACAGGCGATCGGACACCCAGGGCACTAAGTAATGCCAATCGCTGAATAGCGCGTTGGCCGTATTCACTGTTATTGGTCGACATATGGGCAACCAATCGTTGTATCTATAATTTTCTTCGTAATTCGCACAAACGCAATTCATCTGTCCCAAAGGTTTATCGATATCGTCAATTTTACCGTTACACACCCGGACCGTAGTACAATTTCCGGTAATCGTATCGTTACCGATGTACCCGTCCATTTTACATTTACACGTAAACATATAGTCCGAAGAACCCGCGTCGTTGGCGATCAACACTAAATCTCCGTGAAGCGGATGACACGCTTGTTCGAGATTTGTGATGGCCAACGCGTAACCTTCGTCAATAGTCGCGTTTTTCGGTATGATCGTATACGAATCGTTAGGATTTTTATAATATTTAGTGTCTTCGCTGAAATGCGTACAGCGGACCAATAGTTCGCGACACCCGAACAACGTTGTGGGATCGGTCATGGAACACTTTTCCAGACCGTCGACGTTACAGTTTCTATTGTTTTGTAGGTCGACCGTAGATCCGTCGTCGTAACGCGGGTACCGAACGTTCATTTTAAACCTATGTAAATCTATCGAACGATCCGTTTTAAAAGTCTTTATACGTTTTTCACATATATATATAGAGCACAGTACGAGTACAAACACTAAAATCAATAATAAACCAGTAATCGCCCGCATGTTCGATACGCTGACAACGCCGGCTGTCGCTTCTTGACAATTACTATGTTTACCAATCACGAAATCAATAAACGTGACAGTTCTCCTACGGACGTGTACGAATACGCCGTAAACAATAATAAATATTATCAAACGACTTCTGTCGATAAACAATCATCACGGACCGACGACAAAACGTCATCAGACAGACTGACTAAATGGTTGTTACGGGCGGAACACAATAAACAAAAAATGTATCCGTTTGTCGTATTGATTTTGACCACCGTACCGGTATTGTTAGTGCTGTGCACGCCGGTTACGCGTTTCTATATTAAAATTTTAGTGCTTTTAATATATATAATAATGATCGCGTTCACGGTGTATTTGTTTAAAAAATAACAACGCAAATTACATTGACGTAAAATTTTGTTTTATTTTTATGACACTGTAAGAATCCAATGAAGCTACGCATATACATTCAGACATGTATAAACGTAAATTATACAAATACGATAAATCTAAACATTTAGTGAAAATAGGCATACGTTTATTTACATCGTACACCAAAATATATCCGACATTGTGTAAACGTGCCAAGTTCAATTGTATAACGTTATTGTGTAAATCCAAACGTTCGACGATCCCCAGTGTGCACAAGTCATTGAAAGCCTCGTAGCGTTTATCGACGGCGACACCGTTCACACCAATCCCCGATGAATCGCACAAAACGCGAAAATCACGTCTGAACGTGTCGACGACGTCCATGGACGGTAGCGGCGGCGATTCGGCACTCGCCGAACCGTATCCCCGCGGTACGGGCTCCGCGAAATCATCGGCACCGGCATCGCAGAACACTTTGTTATGGTTGTTCATTGTATTACTGACAGTGTTGCTCGTTTTCGGATCTGTAACGGGAACGGTATTGTTAGTATGGACGTGCTATGCTAATTATATGCAAATGTACAGAGTCAAAATAAACAAATCAAACACGAACGCCGATGAAGCTCTATCGTTTTTCGAATCACTAGATCTACTGAAATACTTATACAATAGCGCGGTTATTTAAACGCATACGTACGTCGTTGCGTCGATCAATCGAAACCCGTGCATGCCGATCACCCGACGGACTTCGGGCAACACCGGAACCGTGCGCAGAGCTAATGTCGTAGAGCTCAGCGCCTGCGAATCAAACCCGTTAACGTTCACCAAAGTGTCGGCTCGTATATCGAATATCTTTAAATTCGTGTACGGGTGCATGGCGTGTATGACGATATTTTGCGGAGCTATGATTTCTTTGTTCGGTCCAATGGCGCAATCCGGATGGGCCAACATGGACCTGATCTGACCGGCGGGCACGCGTCCGATCAACGAAACGTCGCTAAACACGATCTGGGCGTGCACTCGGCGCCCGTCCCGAGTTATGCCCCAAAATCCCGATAAATCTTCGACGGCACCGCAAACGTTTTTTTGACCAAATGAATTTGCGATTTTTGTACCGACACCGAATTTCCCTAAGTGTTGGCCCCGTATCAACACCGTCAGGGTTTTGTTAGATTTTACGCTGTCCACTTCCAGACGATCGTATTGATTTTTTGGTTTGAAATGAATCAGATGATAATAATGATTACCTATGACCGTCACTAAAATATTACAATGTCTACTGTGCTTCGTGTACACTTCGGTGTTTGTCACCACGCAACCTATTAACGTATCGTCGGTACAAGTGTTTGCGTGTACATCGATGAATCGCGCGTCTCTAGCGGTTTTTGCGTTTTTGAACGTAAATTCTACGCTTATGCAAGCGTTATAATGAACCGGAGGCACGTGTTCGACAAATTTCTTGTCAAAGACCACGCTGTCCTCGACACAAGCACCACGCACATTACCAAACGCCACCCAAGCCGTCAGATTCCACGGATTCGGCGGTTCGTACGCGTCTCGATTCATTATAGTCTGTACGTATTTAATGACGTTGCGGCGTAAATGTGGAGCGTTGTTGTACACGTACGTCTCGGTTTTTGTAGGCTCGCAAGTATATTGCAATTTACGCAAATCGAACATGCGCAACAACGAACGCAACGCTTTCTCGGCGTCGGTGTCTTCGACGCGAGGCGGTTCGTTGTCAAACACGCGATCGATCTCCGCAAAATGATCGGCGTACGGAATTAGTCCGTGTCCCGTGACGGCACTGTCCAATATCCGAATTCGTAGATCGTCGTCGATTTCGACATAACACGTGATGCCCAGAGACGACGAAATCAATTGTTTATGAAACGCCGACGTTACGTTAGCCACGCTGCCTTTAATGTTGTTTATGGCCACCGTGGTCTTGGCCGGTGGGTTTTTGACCAACGCCCAGGGATCTAAAATTTTCACTGTGGTTGAGAATTGCGCTGCCGGTTCGTACGTTATACCGTATTTCGTGGTCTCGGCCGGTGAAAAATACACATCGTGTTCGGCACTGTATTTGATCGGTATCGAAGATTTAGTGTGACAATAGATATACGGTTCGTAGTATTTCGTGGTAACGTTTACGCAATCCCGATGCCGTTTCATTGCCAGAAACACGTCAAAAGTCCAATCGCATCGACAGTTTATAAGAAATCCGTCCAAAATCAATATGTTGCGTCCGTCGGATTTCGATATACTTTGCAGATAACGATACACTAAATTCGCGTCACTGTCTTCCGTCATCATGACGAAATCGGCCAGCACGTTCTGTTCGCCGGCAGATTTTAAATCTTTGGTGTTTACCGTGCACAGATAATTGAACGCGTCGTTGGGGTATACCAGAGCCGACGAATTGCGAAACGCTTCGTTCGATCCGCGCACGACGGTCGAGAGATAATGCGAAATCTTGTTGCTGCGACCGTCGTGCAGCGTACTGTCGAAAGACTGCGAATACGATTTACTAGATTCGTCGTGGTCGTAAGCCGATTTTTTACTGAGCGCCGTGTACAGATTTCCGATTTCGAAATACTCGGACATTTTTACGTTGCCCGACGCGTTTTTTTTAAGTAACATTTCAATGCTTTTGTTTATCACGGTGCCGCAATTCAAAAATTTACGATTTTTCAAATCGTTCATGTCGTACGGATAGCTCAAAATCACGTCGAACATGTCCACATAATCGTTGGACTCGGAACGTGTGCCAAACGGATTGGCCGCGTTTATCAATCGGATCCACAACTGTGCGTCGTCCGCACTGGTCACGGTCTCACGTTTATACGTTATCGTGATCACGTGATCACGATAGCTCAAACCCACGCCGTCGTCGTCTATGTAAAAATACCATTCTATAGATCGTTGATTTTTCGTTTCTCGAACGTGCATGGAAAGCGCGTCAAAAGTAGAAAACGACATGTATATTTTAGGTATCCCTTGTAACACGACTTGACCCCATTGCGCGCGCGATCGTTTTACCGCTTCTTCTCCGCGTATCAAATAATCGACATAAGTACCCATGATCACAGGCACCGAAACGTGCTTTATCCGTTTACGGTTATGTTTGTACGCCAAACAAGCCATATACGATTGTCGGTTATGTTTCACGATCTCCAGAAAACGTTCCTCGTCTCTATAATCATCGTAATGATAGCAATTTGTCATGATCCAAGAGTCTTGTTCTTTGCGCTGTCCAATGTTTACACTGCACGACAACAGTAGATACGATTCAAAAAAACCCATGGTGTGCGATGGTCCGACACGGGTGCAAACGATTGCTGGTCAAAGATTTATTGAAAATATTCGAAAACTACGAATCGTCAAAATTACTGCTATGGGAAATAGTCCGTACCCTGCATCCCGCGCACACAGCAGCTTTTCTATTTGTATTGGACAACGTTACAAAATCGTATAAGACCGATACGCTGACAATAGCCCGTGACGACGACGACAACAACGATCGGCATGTATACAGATCGGACGTATGTTTAACAGATATAGACGCAAACACCACCGTGGCCGGTAACGGACTGTTCTTGTGTTCTATAAGACCTACGTTAAATCTCAATCCGTGTAAGCGCGATTTCACTGCACTGCCAAACATCCGAGAATTGGATTGCGTGACCGATACTCACGACGGTGCCGGAAATTTGACTATATTCGGATTGATAAAAATATTACAATCACCGTCGTCCGACGCGACGCACGACGCGTGTACCGTACTCAAACGGATCGCCATGCACAATTTACGGACAAAACAATATACTCAATTTTCGCAAAATCTCACGTACTATTTGTTTCCCGAACACGTGCAACAGCAATCACGATTTACGGCACCGCCGATACGAAACCGTATGCTGTCGGAAGATCAAAACAGTACGCACGTAAAATTTATGCAGTTTTACGAATCGTTTTACACGCCCACGGTCACTTGTGCGTACGAACCACATTCGTTTAGACACGTAAATCGTCTACGAGCTATATACATACACGAAAAACCACCGGCGTCCGAATTGTATGTACAACCCCGATACACCGGTTATAACGTCGTGATAAATTCGACAAAAAACACGACGCGCGTGTACAATCGATACGGAGAACTGTTGCATTCGGCGTTGTATCAGAAACGATTTCCCGAACACGCTACATTCGAAGCGATGCTGTTGCCCGTCGACGAACGCAACCGATATCGATCATGGCGATACGTACGCGCCGGCACGTCTGGTAACGGCAACCACGCCGGTATATCGACTTGTCAAAATTTCGTAATATTAATCGTAGACGTTTTTCGCGTACGCGACAAATTATTGCTCGACAAACCGTTCGCACGTCGAATAGAGTACGCGAAATCGTTGACGTGCGAAAACGTCCACGTGTGCGAAACCCGATGCGGTATCGACGGCGTTGAACTGTGGAACGAATTGGAACGCGAACACAATACAAATCCGATCGTTGATTGTTTTTCACCGATAAACGGTGTATTTGTGCGATCTGGTTGTGATTCAGTCGATGCCCGATCAAAACAATACGTATTCACGTCGAACGCCATGTATAGTTTTCAAAAAAACACGACGACTCGCGTTTTCGGAGACGTTTCCGTACGTCTCGCGTTGAATTCTTATTTTCCTCCGGAAATGGCCGAACACTGTACGATCGTTTCGGTGTACGCGCACGACGATCAATTTTATTACACGTGCGTGTTCGATCGAACCAATTTTACGTTCACGCACGATGCGTGTTTAGATCGCCTATGCGACATATGGCGAACCGGATTACGGTATTCCAAAGACGTGGTGTACGTACACAACGCCCAAATAGCACCGATGGGGATGACTCTGTTACAGTGTTACGAGTTTATTACAACAAAAATTCTAATTTTAAAAAAATCGGACACGATTCGCGCCAAAGCATCGTCGGTTACGAGATAAAAATAACTACATCGGTTTACGATATACCGTTCGAACAAACGACTTGGTTTTAAAATCTAAACCAAAAAATAAGAGTGGGAGTCAGAGATAACGCGCACGAGAACGCGTATAAATACAGGTGCGGCCTCGCGCGCGCGACAGACTCTGTCCAGTAGTATAGTGGTCGAGGACGGGGTCGTCCGTCTCCCGGGGAACAGGGTGACGGCGTCTACCGAGGTATATATATACGTATAAGGATAGGGCGCGGGACGGGACGGAGAATAATAGTAATAGTGATTTTCGTAAAAAGTTTTTCTCTCGTCCTACACATCGCGGTCTCGTCGCCGCGGCGGACCGAAACCCATACACAAAACCGGTCGTGTACGTGTACACGTCATCGAAACCGTAATAATAATAATTTTTGAAAAAGTTTTTTTTCGCGCGCGCGACCGACACGACAACGACCGTGTCGTTAGGTCGTCAAACACGAACGCACGGGTCCGTGTACTCGTGACGACTCGTCGCCGACGAGTGCGCGCCCGTCTTTAAACACGATCTATAACAGTGAAGATAAATTTTTCCGGAATGGGATATTTATAATAACATCATTTAATACCGTGAAATCAGACGCGCATTTCGCCGCATACGCGGTAACCCCATGTCGTACAAGGCGTGTACGTCCACCCGACAT